ATAAAAGAAATGTTCACTAGGCTTCCCCATAAGTCTATTTTAGAAGCTGTAAATTGGGTATGCGACTGGGCAGTAGGCGAAGGGCACAAATGTGTACGGGTCAACAAGCTTGGCAAAGGAGCAAGCTTTTCAAAAAGTTTTGGGGAAAGTTGTTGGGTAACTCTCAAGTTTTCTGCTATCACGCAGTTCGTAGAATTTGACCTCCGACACACGTATGCATGTGTTGCAGGGCGAATTATCAAACAGGTCATTGGTATCCCGATGGGGAAAAGCTCGAGTCCGGCTTTAGCTTGTCTGTTATGTTCGTTCAATGAGTTTACTTTTTTGAAGTCTCTTGGTACTGATGCAAGGTACTTGTCGGGCCTCAGATTGGTAGATGACGTTAGCATCTTCGTCCTGCTACCTAGGACTGATGATGCCTCGAGGAGCAAAGGGGCGAGTCTGGTGGACAAATTCTCCGACGCCTACGACCCCAACCTCTCCCTAGTTAGGACCGACGACGGTATCGGAAATGGGATTTCATCGAATGCCAGATCATCTGTTCTGCTATCCCACCAACAGTTCGGTGTTTGGCAACAATTAAGAACCAGCCCGCTGTTTGGGGTAACGAGCCATTGAGCATCCTATGTTCTAGGGACTATTGGTCCCTCGGACTGGACCAACACAAGAAGGCGTCACTCAAGAGCAAGATCCATAGGCTAATCACCCACTCCTCACAATACGGAGGGGTGGGTATGACTTTGTTGTCTGTAAGGCGGGAAATGCGACTCAGAGGCTTCCCCAGGTACCTCTTCTTCAGAACAGTTCGAGAGGTCTCCGAGAGCCACGAAGGGGTACTGGACGGGTGGGCATAAATTTTGGAACTTGGTCTCGGGACGGCAAAAAGGGAAAATGTTTTTCGCCGCTGCAGGCAACAGGCGGGTTACAAGTCCGCAAAAGTGAACCTGGTACCCGTGCCAGGATAAGATCAGTACAGGAGATTTTGGCTGCGTAATCTTAGGTCGTGATGGCTCGACGTGTCGGAATATGGAATTGAAGACAGAATGAGAGTGTATGGGTACTATCCGCCCATGTGAACCTAGCTATGTGTTTCGTCATAATACATAGGATAGGGTTGGGATTTGATTTTTGCCTCTGGCATGCCAGTATTCTTTTTCTTCTCTTCTTTTCCCTCTCTCCTCTTCTTCTTCTTCTTCTCCTTCGTCTTCCTCTTCATCCTCCTCCTCGTGTCTCCTCACCTTCTCCTCCTTCTTCTTCTTCTCCTTCTTCTTCTTCTCTCTCCCCCCCTCCTTTCTACTTCTAGTTCCTCTCTCTCTTTTTTCGTTTGCTTCGCTGGATGTGCTTGCTTGGTACTACGACATTCGAGAGTGAAGAATGCTTTGGTGTCTGTATGATTTGCGTGAGGCTGCTGGGTATTCTCCTGGGTCGACCACGGGCTTCCCGTTGTAAGTTGCGTGCCTTCTGCGCGCTGTACTTGCTCGACCTACAGTAGCGTGTTAAGCACTGTGAAGGTCACAGTGTGGTGGATACGCCTTGTTTCACTACACGTTTCACGCGAAGAACTTTCATCAGCGGCTTCGCCTTCGCATTGCGCTGAAGTTAGAGCCGGCGAGGTTTCCTTTCATAAGCGTCCTGAAAAATGGGGGATAACTTTGTCCCGTACGGCGCTTGCTTCAACTGCCGACAGCACGGCTATTGGGCTAGGAACTGCCCGTACCCGAGGAGGGATGACGGGTATGTTAGTGGTAGACCGATCGGGGCGCCGGCGTTTGGACAGAATCGCCCTATTCTCCAATCTCCTGGCGCACCCCCTCTGCCACTGTCCTCTCCTTATGCTCCCTCGGCTCCCCCTCTATCTGCGATGGCTCAATCCGTCCCGTCTAATACTACCTCAAACCCTCCACCCCTGCCTATTATTTGTCCACCATCTACCTCAACTCAACCACCCTACGCACCGGAAGCAGTCGCGTCCTCTTCGAATGTTTTAGTACCTTACCAGCCTAGGCATATCGTCCCCATGTCGGGACGAACGGGGTGGAACTCCTGGGGACACAGGAAGACGAATGGCGAGAACGAACTGCTAACCTTAGTTCGTGAGATCGCCTTCGACAATCGTGAGATGCGAGAGGCCAGGAGGCTGGAGAACGAAAGAAGGCATCGGGAGGAGCAGAAACGGATGTTGAGAGAGGCGGATGCGAAGAGGGCTGAGGAGATGGCACAGAAGGAGGCGGAGAAAGAAGCTAGACTAGCAAAAATGATCAATGACAAGATAAAGGAGATAGATAGCAAGTGTGAGGAAGATAACAAGAAGATTTGGGAGAAGTTAGGAAAAGGGAAAGAAGCAGAGAAGGCGGAGGGCGACAAAGCCGCAGCAAACGGTGAGAACAAGAAGCGGGGGCAAGACGAAATYACCGGTACTGCGACAGTCCCACCTCCGACGTCGAGGCAAAGGGTCAACGAGGTTGGAGCTTTGGATGCGGGTTTATTGCTAATGAATTTGGACACTGTATAGCGGAACCAAATGACGCAGAGCCAGATGTTCGAGCGGGCGCAAGCGCAGCAGAATCAGATGTTCGAACTCATGATGGGCATGATCGAAAGAATTGGATCAAGGCAGGTGATTCAGCCCGCGACAGCTAATGCTCCAACTGCRCCGGGTCCGCAGAAAGGACCAGCACCACCTCCAGCTCAGGCTGCGGCTACTGCTAGGGCCGTGGAAGAACCTACCAATCAGCCTCCTGTAACCGTATCATTCCCCCTGTAGCCCCG